TCTACTATATATATATATATATATATATGTTAATTTAATAAATCTACGTAATATGTTATATAAATTAAGACGATTTTTATGCAGAATCCTTTAACATTTTTTTTTTTTTTTTTAGATTTTGGAAGGATTTCTAATTATTATAAAATAGTAGGAGAGATATAATTATAAATTTTAAATCACTTATTATTTTTAATTAATTAACTTTAAAATATTAATATATTCAAAATTAAGATTATAAATTAATGCGCTACGGTTAAATTAGAGACTGAATATATTATTAAAAAAACTGTGACAATTGGAAAAGCATTTAGTAATATCCAAGTAATTCAATTAGGTTTGATTTAGATTGTGTTTTAGCTACGACACGAATTTTATTGTCCTTTAACTCACTCTTTTCTTAAAATTTCAGACAAATATGATAATTTAATAATAAGACGGCATTTTTCCTGTTGTTTTTTTTAGTCTGTAATCTCTTGATTTTGTCGAATTTTTTCATTTTTCAGACAGAAAACTTCATATACTGTACATTAATATAGATATAAGAATGTCGCTTGGAAAATTATAACACGTATAAATATTCAATTAAAATGTAAAATTACCCAATTAAATAATTTTTATGAGATTTTATCATCGTTAGTTTCTAGTCAAGACTTTCTTTAGTAGTTATGTCAGTCATTTAATTTTCTATACGATCATATTTGATGGAAACGAGTTTGTAACATGACTATTTATTTAACAACTAATTACTTAAGCGAGAAATTTCACTATTCACTTTCTAGAATCTAGAATTACAATTTATCAAGTACTTTGTTTACAGAATTTTTAAATGAAATTATAAAAGTTTTATATTAACTTTCTCAATTTCTCGTTAATATGATGTTTGTAATTTCATAAACTGATGTAAGAGAATTTGAATGTAACATTAAGCATTGTTCTTCGGTCTATTATTCTTTATAAGATAAACAAAATGTAAATTTTATGCTAAATTATCGATAAATAATGCTCAAGATGATATTCGATTTTTCTTTGTAGAGTTTCATACCAAAATCACTTTTATTGACCTCTTCCATCTTGTTTGAATCATTCAGTCTTCCTTTATTCAAAAAAAGTTTTCTTTGAATTTTAAGATGCGGTGGAAGATTCCCTATTTAATTATTAAACATTTATACAGAAATAATATTCATCAAAATGTATTTCGGACAATAAATAATTCCACTAGACATGTAAGGAAGGTGAGTTCTACATGCTTCTACATCACATGTAGTTATCATATCATCGGATAGCTTTTATTATTCAATTCAATGTCATGTTGGAATATCAAATTACAATTTTGTCGACACGAAATTCCAGCTGTTTATCTACAATGCTATTATTGGTCATGAAAGTCAATTTTATGGAAATGTTCAAGGAGTTTAAAAAAAAAAAAAATCCTTGTCGATGATTAAAAGGAATGGAAAGGTCACAGTGACATTCTTGTAAATATTTTAACGAATTAAAATATAGCAATATTTAAATTAATTTATTATAAGATAACATAATATTAACTTATGTTAATAAATGAGGAAAACAGAAACATGATTGGAAAGCTTAAACAAGCCATTCAAGCCTCTTGAGTGATAGCTAATGCAACGTCGTAGGTGGCATTGGAACTTAAAAAACAACTTTGTAAGGATATGACTGGGCTAAAAAATAGTCGAGAAATTTAAAATCTAATGCATCGAATTGGATTTTCTGCCAGTTTCGATTAAATTGTGCCATCGGCTAGCCCATACGAGACCGAAATGGTGAGAGATAGGTAACGAGCATGGATGAGAGGGACATAATTGGATTCGAACTCACCTTCCTTAAGGCTGTAGTGGAATTCTTTACTCTGAATCGAATACAAAAATCTTTTTCGTTATTATATTTATTAAATAATCTATATCTAATTAAGATTATAACAAAATTACTTTTATATCATTTTAATTAAATATTAAAATTAATTTATATAACATTTCATTTGGTAATTTTTAATTAAATGAATATTTATATGGTTTAGAAATGATTAAGTATTTTAATTAATATACGCGTGGTATACGAATATAAATAATGAGTAATAATGGAAAGTAAAGAAGTAAGTACTTTTTACCATTGCGAGATTTTTATAAGTACTTTGTGAGAATATTCAGAATATGAAAAATGCTAACAAATCTGAAACAGTGTGTGGTTCTTAACATTTTTCACATAATAATATTTATTCTTACAATGGAAAAATGACGGAGACAAGTATTACATGTAAGATGCTTTCTCGTTGATGAAGTAAAACGCTCTTAAAAATACTAATACATTGATTTTTACAAGGAAAACAAATTTTTAAAACGTTTATAATGCCGATAACAGTAATTTATTTTATTTAATGAGATAGAAATCATGATTCCGACTCTAACTTCAAAGTTTAAAATAAATCTTCTAGAATTTAATAGGCTTTTCGATTAAAAGAAGTTCTCATCCGATATCTGTTTGGCAACTGTATATAGAAGCTATTGTATTAAGTAATTCACTTTAAAACTGCATTAGAAATAAATGTTTATTTAACTCTTCACGAGCAATTTAAATGCTTAACGCTAATAGCAGACAAAATAATGCGTTTCGAATTACAATTATATTGAGTAGAGCAATATTCTACAAGTCATTTTGCGATGAATTAATTCTGCATTTTCAATATTCGTTTCTTCTACAAATTTTATAATTGTTAATAAATATTTCATTTATTTAAAAGTTGATCAGAGCATTCAACACCGTCGAATAAATGAAATCATAGTAAAAATTTGAAACTATTCTTCTCTCGTACACTAAATAATATATAAGATATTAATGTAGATGTCAAAATTAAAAATTAATTCGATTAAATTGATTAATTTTTCTTAAAAAATAATTAAAGCTCTTTATAAATTTATAATTGTAAGTTAATATTTAAGTTTCCTGTGTCAGCAATAAAATGATGAACTGGATTTTTCAATAATTTATTTATAAAATATTGAAAAGAATAAAACGAAAGCTGCATGATATACGTTTGAAAATAATTACGATAAGCACTTATGTCGATTGTATCGTACAATGCTATATCATGGCACGAAGTAGCATTATAAATTACACGTAATATGCGGTACATGTATTGCAAATAGCTACAGTATGTATTTACATAATTATGAAGAACCTCCTCTACAAAAATACATCGGAGATTAATATGGGCATAACAACGTAAGAATATAATTAAAGTTTTACTCCTTTCATAAAACAACTAAAGAACGTCTTTTCTATATTTTGTGTTAAATATAAGACGTGGAATGAATTTAATAAAATTCTGTAAAACTGCTTTCATTTTTCTGATAAGCTTTATTTTAATTAAAATTTAATTCATATTTAATAAAGAGTGATATGCAAGTTTTAAATTTATTCAAAAGAAATGTTGTATATTTGATTATGCATTCGAGAAAATGTAATCTTTAATTACTTAAGTGCATAAATTATACTTTAATCTATTCATGATAAACATTATTCGTGCAATTCATCAATTCTATCAGCCGATTAGTAATCGAAATTCCTTAATTATGACTCCTAGTCTTTAATGTTAATCAGGAAAGGCTATCTATTGTAAACTTGTATAAGATGAATTAATATTTATAATTCTCTCCTATTTTCCTATACTCATACATATGGAAAGATTAGCGACTCTAAATTTAGTTGAATGTGTTTACTTAAGCCGCATTAAATCTGTATCAAAACAATCGGAATTAAGCCAGGAATTTCATTACAAAAATTGATATTTTTGGGACAGAATTTTCATTTTAAAAATTTAAATCAAATGCTTTTTAAAATTTTATGAATTTAATAAGATTTTCTGGCAATATTATTGAAAGGAGTTTGGGAAAAGAAATAACCTGTCTAACTTATTACTTTAAGCCAAGTCAATGTTATATATATGATAACTACGAGGAGAAAATATTAATAATATCGTTGTTTTTCTCATCAAAAATTCTATAGAAAAACAACGAAGATATTTATCATTCAGTTGTGATATTTTCTCGAATGCGGATATATTTTATTATTTAAAATATCTACTTTAATGTTTTATTTATTTTAATAATATTATGGAAAGCAATAACGACTAAAGTTACTTTTTTTTATATTTTATATTTCAGCAAAGGCCTCAAAAGCTCTCACTGTGCCAAAGTTTTCGTCGAGATGCACACATCAAATGTTTAGTTTTAACTCTGTTAATTTTCGGATGCCTCGCAGCCCTTGCTTGGTGTCGTATGGCAGAAGTTACTCGTTTAGTTGTGAATTTTCAAAGTTTTCCCATTACAAGTCGACGAAGAGTAAGTCCTTGTGACGAAGGTTATATCTATATTCCTATAGCCTTCATGGTAATGTTATATTTGGTATACCTGGTGGAATGCTGGCACTGTAGCACACGTTTAGAACTGACATATAATGTCGATGCCAGCGTGGTATACGATCACATTCAGCAGATGCGCGAGTCTCAACCGATGATCTGGTGGAAAGCCATTTGCTATCATTACGTTCGACGAAGTAGGCAAGTAACCAGGTATAGAAATGGCGATGCGTACACCACGACCCAGATATACTTCGAAAGAGTGAACTCGCACTCTTCCGGATCATGTTTTACATATACAAACTGTGGTGTAAAAGACATCTCAAAGAAGTTAGTCGATTTAGAAAAACATCCGGCTACAAAAATAAGATTCAGCAAAGGTTTCGCTTTCGCAAACATTGAAGCTGCTAATGAGTTCGAGGAACAAAGAATGAGATTTTTTTTAGAAAATGAGCGGATCGATGATTATATGGAAATGAGAGAAGGATTAGATTTGGTTGGAGTCAACTTCCAAGAATACATGGTGGCCTTCGCAGATCCAGATAGATTGCCGTGGTACGTCTCTCATTTGGTGTTCTGGTTATTCTCTATGGTGTTATTGTCATGGCCACTAAGAGTTCTTATTGAATTCAAAACGGCTTACGTCCATTATCAAGTAACCAAGTTATTCGGTGTGAACTACCTCACTCCTGCAAGCGGTACCCGAGTGCCAGATAGAATGTCTCGCGGAAGCACGGTAGACAGTTCAGAAATAGAGCATTTAATTTCCAATAATTTTACTTTGGCTCCTAGTTATTCCGAAGCCCTGTTACTAGACACATCCAGGATGACGCAGCTAGTACACAGGGATACTAATGGCAATCTACCGAATGGAATATGCCCTACGGATTCCATCTTGGCTTCGCGCGATTCTCTAATGGAAAATTACGGAAGTGTATCTAGAAGGCCCCAATCTATCAGTCGTACTTCTCTACCCAGTGGACAGGTTGTTTTTGTAGTATCTCCACTCACACCAGACATCAGGCACGAGTTCGATTCAAGTAGAGATCCACCCGCCTTTCAACATGATGATGAATGTCCGCCCACTTATGAAGATGCTCTTCGCATCTGCCGCCCCCTCTTGCCTCTCAGACGTTCCTTAACTGAGAGGAATTTTCAACGTCCAGTTTGCCCAAATCGTTTACAAGGACGATCGCTATCTGCCAGCATCGATGTATCTGAAACGGCTTTATAAGGTCGCGCGATTGTAAAATAATTTGCTATTTTCTGTTAACGCTAATTTACCCCAAGCAACGAATTCGTTTAAAAGCATATACAAATATACGGCAATGTGTATATACAAGATATATATATATATATATATATGAAAATAAACAAAATGTTTTTTTTTCCTTTTGCTTTAAAGGATTTTTTTTATAGAGAAAACGGATGAAAGATGTTCTTCGAGAAAAGAAAGAGAAAAATCGAGTTATCGCGCAGTTCACTATATTCATTATTATTTTTTGACAAATAGACTACGCTAAACATTATTTCTCTGTGATTTTTTTTTATAGTAACTCTTTGACCTTCACGCAACAAGCATTTTTTCCCAACTAAACACAGGTCAAACAGAAATAAAATACAGCTTTTTGGCGGTTCGATTTTTTCCATTTTTTGTCTCTAGAGGTCGCATCTTTAAAGGAATTGACCAAATATTTTTTCTTCTATTTACTTTTCCTTTTTTATTTGTCTTTCTTTTAACAACGGCAGAAAACTTCGCGTTTGAATTTCAAGAAAATCATATTCCGTCTTCAAACGCGAAGTTTCCTGACTTAATATAATTTTTTATTTTTATTTTTGCAATTCAGGTTTAAAAATAATAATAAAGTAATATTTAAATATTTAATTTTCAAAAGATATAATTTACTTTTAAAATAATTATTTATTTAAACTACGTAATCATTTTATTCAAATAAGGAAAAAAAACAGAGTATATATATAATTTTCTATTTAAAAATTCCAATTTTTTTAAACCTTATTTTTTAACGTTGCACAAAATAAACAGAATTAAATAATATTTTATTAAATTTACGGTGTGTAATGCGCTAAATGTTATGCAAATTGCACTTTCAACTTAATTAAGATTGTTCAGTTAAAAATAAAGTTCTTAAAATAAAAAAAAAACCCTGCGATTTCTAACAGTACGATAATGCCTAATGAATATGCAAAACCTTTTACCTGAGTGTCATTTTTCTAACACTCAGTCGCTTACAGATAATCTTAACTTTTGTTTTGAATGCTAAGAATATTATAATGAATATAATTTTATTCTTAAATAAGAATTTGTTTACACTCCGACTAAAAATTAAACTTTAATCTTCGATTATTCATAAATATGAAAATTAATAAATATGCCGTTAAAATAATTTAAAAAAAAGATTTTAAAGTTTAAAGTCAATAGAATTTACAAAAAAAACTAATTTGTTTTCAATCCAACTAGCAAGATTTATGTAATGAAGCATTTTATAAAAATTAATTAGCAGCATAAGTCATTCTGAAGTGATTAGAAGAGTGTAGAAGTCTCTTTTTATAAGAGATATTTTTAATTGAAACTGTCGAATCTTTGAGAATTCTTATTCTCTTTGTAATATTTTACATTGGATGAATCCTAATCGCCTAACTTCAACAATTCGTCTTCTCAGCACGTATTGTATAAAGATAACGCGATTAAAAACTCGAATAATAGCATCGAGTTACTTCCAAGTAATTCGATCTGAGATATTACAGTCGTGTTATATAACAAACAGCGTAACATAAGTCTTCATTAAGTAAATATTTAGAAACGAAAAAGAAAAAGTGGCGAGGAAAGGAAATAATCAAATAATTTGTAACATTTGTTTCGAAAATGTAATGAATAAAGATGATTTACTCAAGTTTATCAGGTAAGTAAATTGCTTAAAAATAATTCAATTGTGGAGAAATATTTACTTACATTTTAAATAATACAATGGAAAGACATTTCTAATCAAAATAAAGTAGTAATTAAATAAAAAAAAAGGGGAGAAAGTATTATCTAAAGCGGCTGTAAATATACTTAGGTATATTATGAGTAGAAGACAAGTTAGACGGTGCCTAATGACAAAAGGTTTTTATTGATCTTAGAGTGCAGAAGAGTAGATGTTCCAACGAAATGAAGTTTTTCAGTCTATTGTTTGATGTAGAAAGTCGTAAACTTGTCTGGAAATAATTAAACGGCAAACAGAAAATCAAGAACTTTAACACGATTGTTTAATTAATTCTACTTAAAATTTTCATTCTGTGTAAATATTTGTGTAGAAGTAATATTTTATCGTAAAGTTAAAACGTTAGGAAAATTTTAATAATATATGATCTTCGGTCGTTTGTGAAGTGCGGATGTTATAATTGCGAAAACACCCTTTAAAGCAAATTATAACGAGTTAAATAGATTTACATTAACGTCAGATCGTAAAAGATGGATGATATATATTATCGCATTATGGTTCGATAGTTTGTAGTGTTATCAAGAAGTTTTGTAGAGAGTAAATGGTACAGATTTGGGTCATGGATCAATATATTCCTTTCCCTCTTCTCCAGGGACACATAACATATGTCAGACATACTCCATTCTTTGCAACAGCTTTTATACTGAAGTGGACTTTGTTGATTCTAATCTCATATTTCTTCTAATCACATTTGCTTTCTTAATCTTCATACACTGAAAACGTTTCTTTTACTTTTTATTTTTATCTTAAGATAAAAATGAAAAGTATCCGCAGCTATAAACATTGGTGCCGATTATATATCATCATCTGATATTCTTAAAGCTCTAGGCCTATATATAGCTTGGATGTAACAGCTACTTTTGGTCTGTTTCGTAACACGAATAGGAGAAACTAAGTAGAAACGGGAAAGTAGTATCGCCCATCTACTTCCATCTGTTTTTTGGACTAACACCCGTTTCGAATACAAAACCAATCTTTGGAATTCAGGGGTTAAACTCGTTGCTACGCAACTGATGGAAAAACTATTTTTTCAGAATACCTACATAAAATTTCACTCGCAGAATCCTGGTAAAATAAAAGTTATTACTCGATTTATTTATTTTTTTTATACTAAAAGTAAAAATGAAAATTTAGTTTTATTTCTGGCAAGTTTTCTTGCATATCACTTGATTGGTTAAATTTTTATACGCCGAAATGTTTACCAGTGAGAATAGATTTTTCTTATTTCTGCTGTTAAAAAGAAAAGATGGCGTTTAATTAACAAAACAACACAACTGTAAGAAACATTACGAATGTCTAGAACTAGAAGAATTAGATAATTAAGCGTAAGATGTTATTTAATTAATTGAAAACTTGGTTTCGTTATCAGTTGTTCTAATCGTTATTAAAGTTATCTCGATAAGTTAGTAAATATTCATGAAGCCATTATCTGTATCAAAGATATCATCTGTGTTTGACAGTGAAAGATGTGGGCGATATCAAGAAAGGAAAAATTTTTAGTTGATTTTGTTGTTAATTAACTATTATTATGCGTGTACAGAATTTTATTTTCTATACATTAATTAAAATTTCATAAATATTAATTATTAAAATTACTTTTTAATAATCACAGTCACAACTTTCTATTAAACTTATCTCTGGTGTGTTAAAAAATAATAAAGGAAAGAAGTAACGAAACAAAGTTACTTTATATTGAAATTCTCTAAAGATAGATTCTTTTACGCTGAGCAACTGTAAGAGTTATTCTTGACTTCACTAATTAAAATAGCCGGAAAAGAGTATCTGACACGAGATTGAGAAGTTTTCAAAGTGTCTATTCAAAGAAAATAATAGTATCGCGTTTCAAAATTCAAGATTTAACGCCTCCACCCGAAAATCCGGCTTTCTAAAAAGTTGCCATTGTTGCCTCGTTTGATGTATTATTCGTCCGGATATTCCTGTTAGGTTCAATGTTCTTTCAACGATTTCACAGAAGATTGAACAGGATTTTTCTTTCAAAAAATGGAATAAACATTTTAAACTTTCTTCTTCATTCTAATACTTGCCTGACTTTATTATTGACTACGTCTAAAACATAAAAATATCCATATTACCCACGTTCTGAACAATCTACGTTTTCCGTTATTTAAAACACTTGAAACCGAATTTTTCAAATCAATTTTTTTTGTCTTGTATCACTAGAAAATTCTTTAAAGTTTCGGAGATTTGATCATCGTTTTTTTCCAATTAGCAACTTATCACTCAACATTAACGCATTATCCTAGTTTATCTGTTAAAATATGTTCATTTAAAGGTAAAAACTGCTACAAAATTTATGATTTATGATAAAGAAGTTGGTTAATTATTAGAAAACTAACTCCGTAAGATCGATATCGAAATCGAAGAATATAACAGAAGCGAAAGATAAAATAAGATTTCATTCTATCAACGGTTTCTTTAATCCTGAATAATCAATAAAATAAATGAAAGCCACCATTAAATTAGAAAACCCAAGCAAAAGATTATAGAATTTTTCTTTTTTTTACATTAACTTTACAGCAGTTAAACTTTTGGCAATAGTCTAATTGAATTTATGCCAAAACATAGTCAATGAGAAGATTAAGAAATGATTGATTATTGAAAAATAATTATTAAAATAAAGAATAAGTACTTTTATCAATTTTTACCTAATTAATTTAAATGATAAATGATTAATATTTAACAATGAAATAAGAATTTCGAAAGATGCCAAGAAAATTTGGAGAAAAAACAAAATGCAAGAACCAACAACAGATCTATGAATGTAATTATGTTAACGAGGGAAGATGACGATGTAAATATATGCAATAGTGAAATAACTTCGGTATTAATGCATAAAGTTATAAGATAGATGAGAAATGGAGATAAAGGAATTGGCTTGCTAATAAGCTATCATGTCATGCACAAATGCTTATGGCATATCAAAATTAACGTCTGAAATTCTTTAAATGTCTGTCTGTCTACCACTAACCAGAAGAATTCATTCGGAAACTTCTGATATATCTCGACATTAAATCAACGCTTCCGTTGCTTCAGGCAAAATTTTCGGATTTGCAAAGTAGCCCTAACACTACTTTCAAAAATTTTTCTAGTTTCCTAAGTACCCCGAAGGGCATTGCAGTTTTGCGAAATTTCCAACGAAAATTAAGAAAACATTATCATTTAAATGCAAAAGAAACTAAAATAGCAAATTAGTAAAAGTCCTAGAATTTAGAATAAGTGAAATCCAATTATTTTAATTAAATTTTGAAAAAAACGGATTTTTGTCGTCAAAAGTCCATTAATTAATTAAATCTAATTACTGTGTAAGTCTGCGATTTAGTGACCTCAGCTTTTGGTCAAAACAAAACGCTATTTAAAAACTCTTCTTG